GAAGATCCCTGACACATGTTGGAGGATGGCCGATCTAAGGCGGTTCGTGCTTTAAGGCTTTTGCTGGCGACTGCCTTGCATCCCGAACGCGAATGCGCAGCTTCTGAGGACGCCGAAACCGAGAAAGAGGCGTCGGCGAAGACGAGCCGTCGACGGGAGAGGAGCTCCTTTCGCATGGCTTTGGCGCGGGCGGAATCCAGCGTTGGGATGACGTCTTGGAAACCTGCCTGGGCCTGCTTGCCAGCCCATGCCAAGCCCTGAGCCACGCGAAACCCTGAAGCAACAATCGCCATCCGACAGAACACTGGCCGTTCACCTGTGCTTCACACCAACGGAGAGGTGCACAGTCTCGGCATCGCATCGGATTATGGGATGTTGGTGGACTCTGCAACTGGTGTCGTTCTCGTCAGCGAACGATTCCTTTGGTTACCATGCAGTCCCGTCGACTGCCGGAGTGGATGTTGTGCTGTTTCGGTGGATCGCTGAATCATCTTCGAGAAACACACACATCATGCAAGGCTTTTTCGCCGGATTTGATTTCCACTGTGGGGCTTGTTTCATGTGATGGACGTCTGCTCACAACCCTGCCGCCGCAGAGTTGCCAGATGTCAATACTGAACTGGACAGGCGCAGCTCAGCACAGTCCCAAGTAATGCAATGCGGTCAATAAATACCCATTAACCAGCGACATGTCGAGTCAGACTGCTTGAGGGTGTGTTCGGATGCATAGCAGAGCGTTGTGTGTTGTCGTACATTCACTGTCCTCACTTGACGAGATGCAGGATGGATGCACCTGCCTTTACAGCGTATGTGTCTCAGGGATATCAGAGATAGGGAGGGAGGGAGGCCTTCAAATCGGTGTCGAATGGATTTTCTAAGTATGCCCCTAGCCCCTTAACCGGACAAGTCCCTGTCGCCAATTCAGATTTGTTCCTGGCCTGTCCACAGAAGTAAACACCAAAGCCCAACAAGCAAAGCTTGAGTACCTTAGCAAGAACGCAGAAGGCACTTTGAAGTCGTTGCATGGTCAAAGGCAACTTGCAGTTCATGCAAGGGCGAGTTGCAAACTCGGTCGTGTAGATGGCACAGAAGCAAAGCCTGCAACGACTGGCACAATGTTGGCACAGTGGCGTCAGTGTTCGCGCCCTTTCCACGACTGTCAATTGCAAGGTTTCTGCAGATGAAGGTCACTTAAAGATCATCTCCCGACAGGCCACTCCAAAATGTCCCAAACGATGAAGTCCGGCTGGATGTCGCTCTGCAGACCGATCACGATCTGGGTGCAAGAGCATGCAGTGAAGCCACTGCAGCAACATGTCATGAAGAGGTGGGAGGAGTTGCGCCAGCACTGTGCAACGGTGATACGTTGAGCGAAAGTTCTATTGCACAGGCGCAGATGATCGCAGCTCCCAACATTGCTCGATGAGTTCACTGGGGCAGCGCATGAAAGCCAGTGTCACGCTTCACAAGAACAACGCTGCGATGCCAGCTGCCGGCGACTCTGAACGTTCGACATGCAAACTGGAGTACAAGGATATGGAGTTCTCACTGCGGCCTGGACGTCCAGATTCTGTAGGAGTGTCTGACCCAGACAGACCATTAAAGCAGTTCTGTCAAATTTTAAATGGAGCCTTCATATACGACTTCTTGGTTGCTTGTCTTGCCATTATATTAAAGGCATGATGTCAATGCTTCACGGTGCACTTCACTGATTCGACAACACCGTGAGATTCTGGATGCCTTCCGCTGGTCGATGTTTAACGGAACTGGGGCTCTCCGGCCAAATGTCAGACCAACCGCGCCGATTAGCTGGTGTGTGGCTAGTCTAGAGCACACGCGAGCCTGCAAACAGAGGCCCCGGCTGCATTCACGACGATCGTCAGGCTTGGAACGATGCTTAGGAAAAGAGCCTGGGCAGGTCGAAAGTCTTTGGCTTGGAATTCGTTGGGAATCCCATCTGGTTGTGCCTGGACTCCGCATGCCAATGCCCGGGTTGCGTATTACATGAAGAACAGCTTCCGCAAGCCAATCATCCATCAGATCCGGTATCGGAGTAAGCTCTTGTCCAGAGACCCACAGGCTTGCATGCAAGGGGCTGCGCACCCGAGCCAGAATCCTGCCAGGATTTGTCGCAGCCGGATGCGTACACACTCAACAAAGGCACAAAAACACAATCCGGCTGCATCCGAGCTGTTTCTGTGCAACAGCTCCTATGCGCCGCTGAATGGACACCATGCGGCTGCATCCGACCACCGAGATGACAGGATTGACGGGCTGGATGGCCGGCTGACACAGATTGCTGCAGACACAATCTAAGTCCAATCTGAGCTACTCGGCACACGAGGTGGGGCCGAAGACCACACTTGGCAGCGCTCAGTCAGCACTCCTCCAACAGAGTTGCCCGAGCTGTCCAGGTCGTACGAAAGCTCGGCCTTGACATGCTCTCAGCCAATCTCAGAAGCGGAGGCATTAAGATTCCAGCCGCCGTCACCTAACCCCAAAAAGAAGACTCGGTCCTCACCTTCCCCATGCCAGTGCCGAAATGCAACAGCCGCACGTTTCGGATGGCTGGGCGCTTGCACCATCACTACATATAGTATGTAAGGATGCAGCAGGGATGATGTCGGCGATCCTGGCTTGCGACCCAGCGTCCAATGCGTTTCGGACTCCTTGTTTCACGCGAGTTTGCCAAGCTCTCCTGTTGCAGCGACTTGCCCGAGAGCAGGGTACGCTTGAGTCTGAACGAGCCAGGGACGTTACATTGCAGTGTCAGCACGCTATCTGGATGACTCCTGGAATCTACTCTAGGACTCTAGAATGCCATGCTCTGCTCTGCCAGTCGGCTTCAGACTTCCATCGGGGTGTGGGGGCTGAAAGCGACATGGCGGTCAAGCCCTGCCCTCGTCCTGCGCGGCATCTCACCTCAGCCCGGCGGGCTACCATTTGCCGGGAAAAAGACTACAAGTTCACGAAACAAGATGTCGTGCAGCTGAAGCGTGATGTCGGCTTCCTCTTGCCATGCCACTGGTCGGCGAGCGCTTAGCCGCAGCCGCAACCTGGACCTGGCAATGCTCCGCCGCGTGGCAGGATGTGGCAGGTGCACAGGCAACAAGAGGGCAACTGCGGTGGCCTTGGGAGCTCCATCTTCCGCCTCAATGAGACAGTCAAAGAGTCGCCTTGAAGATCGACTGTGAGTACACTGCAGTAGTCGGCCGAGATTCCACCTCGGGCAAAAGGACCTTCGTCGGAGAGCTTGGGACATGCCTCAGTGGACACTCCCCGTCTCACGGCCGCGGCCTCTAGGACCGTATTTTCAGAACGTCACTTGCACTGTCAGTTTTGGGAGGGCCCTCTGCGTGCAGCCTGGCATCTGGCATGGAGAGACATCGAGGCTGTCCTGGCAAAACGCCAATCGAGCCCACAGCCAGCTTCACGCGACATGCTGGCCGCCTTCGAATGGGCCGAGGTCGGAGAATCGCCCCAGCCGCCCACTGATGGCTTGAAGAATCCTCGCCGGACTGGATTCATGAGGGCGTCATGAGGCCTGATGATGCCGGATGAGATGACCCTTAAAAAGGCAATACACCTGCTCCTGGCTCGGTTTGGACAAGCCGGTTAGAGAGCTTCTGAAGCTCGTGGAGCAGGGGCCGCTTGACATTGATCATGTCGAGGCGGACCTTGCTGCTGAGCCCTTGCGAATCCTTGCGACGCGTCTAACCACATTGCTTCCAGCCGGTAGTCCAAGCCCCGGACTTGCTCTAGAGCGGTGTTCATCTCCAGCTGCAAGTTGTGGATCTTCCTGATGTCAGCACCTCAGTTGCCCATTCATGGCCCAGACAGAGTCGGCAGCGGTGCCACGCTCCACAGGTGCAGCGAAGGCGCGGAGAGAGACCAAAGTGCTGTTGGCATCGCCATCGCCGACGGAGGCGCCCGTCGGCTCGCGATCCTGGTCTCAAGCATGAAAGACATCTCACTTCAGACATCCTCCAATCCGCGAGTAGAGCCAGCAGGCAAGGGACAGGAAGTATGCGCAGGAAAGCTGGCGAGGCATGCGGCGGAGACCTGCGGAACAAGACATGGGCAGTCTAGACTGTCTTTGCGGACGGATCAGAACTGTCAGAACCATAGAGAGTGCTGTGGGGAGCGATGGGTGATGAAAAACAATAAGGAAAACAGTGGAGGTGGACTGGATGGACGTGGCGAAGGCCTCGCCGGAAGATCGCATCCCTTCATCTCTCGCTCTTCCATGGCCGCCCGAGGGCACCGGGCAAAGCCGGCACAGCGGACCGTAAGGAGCCGTCAAAATTACCGATGTCAAGGGCTGTCCTGACTCTTACCGAGGCGCTTGGCCTTGACCTAAACCTGTAGCAAGAAACAAACAGCCTTAGACGGTTTTAGAGCATGAGAATGAGACTCTTTAAAATCTTTAAACTCCAGGCATCTCCGCATGTGGATGATGCACATTGCATGTCACACCTGCTGCTTCGAAAGCGATGCCTTAATGATTAGACAGCACTGTACGAAACTGGCACGCCGAAGAAATGGCTGCATCGAGATGGTGGAGGCCAGCAACCCACCCCCAGAACTTTGGAACCTTCAGCTCAGTTGCAGCAATAACAAGGCAGGGTGAAGACAGAAGTGAGAAGATATCGAAAAGTACAAGATGCACTGAGAACATCTCGGAATCAGCGCAGGGCAGCATCGTCGGCATCGTCTTTCATCATCGTCCACTTAACCATCATCGTCATCATCGTTACCACCACCTTAGGATTCCCATGAGAGCTTGGATGACCACATCATCACCGCAGCGGCTGTAGTGCATGAAGGCGCGCGATCGAGTGATAGCGTCTTCAGTCTGTCATGGTGCTGGTTTGACACACACTTGCATTTAATCATATCCTTCTATCTGCTTCCAGAAAAAGACTTTGAACCGCCTCCTAAGTCGGATGCCTTCGCTTTCGGCCCCATGCGCCCCTGCGCCCCCTCTCCAGGGTTCCGGCGACATTTGCAGAGTTCAAGGCCCCGAGCAGATCACCGGCCGTCGCACCTGGCCCAAAGGCTCTGCCCCCCGCGACCCCAGCGTCTTCAGCACCCAGTTTCCACAAGGACATCCCCTTCACTAGTCTCGCAGTCACTGGTGCTCCATCTGCCCTTCCCCGATATCCGGCCAGCAAGGAGAGCAGCAGACATCGCGGCCACACTGCGCGAGCTCCTCAGTTCACAAAAGCCTTCCCAATAGTAATTAGCTGTGCTTGGATGCTCATGCAGCCCAGGAACCTCTGACTGTTTCCTCCGGTGCTCATGGCCCACTCCACGGCGAGACGCCCTAGCAGGGAGAGTTCAGGCAGCTGTTTTCCCATGCTCGCAATGCTGACGGATCGCTGCGCGGCATCGGATTGGCATGCGGCATACCTGGCATACCTGGCATACCTGGCAAACCTTACCTTACGATCCGCAGTCCGGCCTTCCCAAGGAGAGACTTCTGACATGAGGTCTTCGCCCAGACGGATTGCCAAGGCAGCACCCGTCTCTGTGGTGCCCTGCAAGACCTGCAAAACTCGATCCGCCTTTTCGGACATGCCTAGCATCCAGGCCGAACGCGCCGCGTCGATAGGAACGTCTGCACCCGCGAGTGTTGGTGCGTGAAGGCTCATGTCTTGCTCTGTCAGGCCGAAGACGGACATGGCTCCGGCGGCTGCGGCCAGCTTGGCCTCCAAATCGGCCTCCAGGCCAGAAAGGGAGTTTTCTGCGGCCGCTGCAGCCGCCAGTGCCATGTGTCCTGCCTCCAATGCGTGCGGCCCCGAGCGCCATCTCAGCAAGTTTGCCATGGATCGGCCCGAGTCCCGGATGGCAATGAGGCGCCAGGGCAGACAGCGAAAAGCCGTGTCTGCACAACGGCCGACATGGAGGTGAAAAGCCGTGGCAGCGGCTAGCTGCAGTGCCTCAATGGGGGAGAGGCCGAACTCCAGGCCCAACGAATGAGCTGCTGCCGCCCCCCGATCTGGATGCAAGTCGCCCAAGGTGTTCCCCATCTGCTGAGCCACATCCAGCAGGCTTCTTGACCGGCTGGCAATCGACAGTCCTGCTTCGTAGGCGCCCTCAGCAGCTTGCCGAATGACGTTAGCCAGACCCTGCCGTGCTGTGGAGAGCTGCGGCAGCGGCAGCCCCAACCAGCGCGTCTGTGCATAAGCCACAGCTGTGTCTGCAAAAAGTAGGCTTTTGCCGGCAAGGAGCGCCCCGTCATGGATGCGAGAAAGCTCAACTGATGTCTCCTGTGGGCACGGCAAACAATTCTGGCTTCAGGGCTTCAGCAGTTACGCGGAGTGGGAAGCGAACACTCCAATCTGAACACTCTTCAGTACAAGCATCGAGCGAGGAAGAACTGAGATCCGTACCAGCATCGGAACATCAATTAAGACTTTCAAACGAGAATGCTGAAGGGTCGAGTAGTTGAATCGCGGCTAGGCACTAATGCACGTCTGCGTATGTCCTGCCCTACCAGGTTTTCCTGGTATGGACCTAAAGGAGCTTGATCTTCTGATGTGAGGCAGGAGCATAGAATACAAGAGCCAGCGACTGGTATATCTTTTCTGACAGACCGGTCTGGGCCGAAGGAGAGATGTAGCAAAACTCTGGCCTAGAGGCCAACAGTGTTCGGAGATCACGCGCACTACGGCTTTGCTCCCCTACAAGAAGCCGCTGTTGCCCTGCAAGGAGCTGTGGTGGTCATGTCTTCCCAGCACAGCGGGTCGCTCCTTGTCTAGGTCTCCACAGGCCTGGCATGGATTTGCGGATTTAGCGGATTCTCAATGGGGCGTTTCGCGGAAAGCCATTCGCGAATTACAAGTAAAATTTGCAGCGTTGGTAATTTGCAGGCCCCGTCTTGCGGCAAGTTAAGGGGAACATCCAAACCTAATGATTCCTCGAGTTTGCGGCGAGAGTTCGCAGCAGCCCATAGCTGATGCGAATCGCTGTGAATCACTTGTGATTTCCCCAGGTTGCAACTTGCAACTCACTGACAGCTTGAGCAAAATACGACAATCGAGTCCCCGTGGCTCAAGGAGGCCAAATCCAGGACAGGCGAGCAAGACCTAGGAAAGGAAGGACCCGCTACACCTGCGGACAAAAAAAACGCAGGTATGAGCAAAGATGGCAAGGGACAGAAGACCGCATGACCACGGGGTTCCGGGAAAAACCCAGACCGAAGGGCCAACCTGCCGCCACAATACATCCTCACCCTCACCCAGGAGCAAAAAAGGGGGCTCGCCACACCCAGGAAAGCAACGAAGCCCCGTGGCTTGTAGCCCAAGGCGTGACGAGAAGACATGCCTTAAGCACTCGCGGTCCCACATGACTTCGTCGCAGCTGACAGGTCGCCCCGACGACTCGCATGAGCGAATGTAGTTTGCATGTTCTGTCGACAAGCTGATGTGCGTACTTGTCCACAAGTTACAGTTCGAATGCCCAGACGCGAAGCCCTGGACATCCCCGAAGTCCTGTGTTGGAAGCTGGCCCCCAATGCTGTTGGCGGTCTCGGCAACTGTGTCACCCATGCTTGCCGCTGTGTCCGTGGCCAAGCGCCGAGATCCAACAGAATCGGGCATGGACTGCATCAGGGCCGTGGAAGAGACAGCATCTAAGGCCGCGCCTAGGATGCTAGTAAGCCTGGCCGTGTCGTTCACGCTGGACATCAGCACATGTGTGATGCCGGCAATGCTCTCATTCACGCTGAGTGAACCGAGCGCCAGTTCGGCCAAGGCCGAAAATGCAGCCACAGGAGCCCCGACTGCTAGGCCTGCACTGACTGCAGCTGTGATGGCTGCAATTGGCAAGAGGTCTGAGCTCAGCGCTGCACTCCAAACGGCCAGGGTAGCGTTCAGCGGGGAGGAGCGGTTCGTTGCCAAGAGATCCACTGCGACGTGCGAACCCAAGTCTTCTGGAGAAAGGGTCGGGTCGAGCACGAGCGACGATCTCATGGAGACCACGGCGATACTTTTGTCGTCGCTGTTGTTGGTTGCCGCAGAGACTACGGTAAGGTCTGCACCGAGCACTGTGGTTGGCATAGTGGCAACAGAATCACGCACACACCCCAGGGCATCCACAACATAGGATCCCATAGTGCAAGTCACGCTGCCGGTGAAGGAGTAACCCTCAATGCATTCGACGGGACACCTTGGTTCAAGGAACAATCAGAACAGCACAGAAAGTCTGCACGACTATTGCTTACATGTGTGACATACATGCGTAGGAAATTTCGATGTCTGCAAATATATCATAATGTCGACAGATCTGAGAGAGAGAGAGAGAGAGAGAGAGAGAGAGAGAGAGACGGAGAGACAGAGAGACAGAGAGACGGAGAGACGGAGAGACGGAGAGACGGAGCAAGACAAAGGCAGAGACAGAAACAGGCAGAAAGAAAAAGAAGAAGACGAAGCGATGAACGATTGTAAGAAAGAAAACAAGCGTCGCGACAGCACTTGGAGCATCGTCGTAGTTGCACAACGACGCCTAACATCATCGATGCCTGCATTCCTTCGGCCCTTCCCTTCATTCATCCCTTCATCCGTCCACCCCTCCATCTTTTTCACTGCAAACTTCAACAAACCCTTCTACCAATGCCTCATTACACTTCTCCCTAAACATCTACAAACTCCTCCATAAACCCGAGAAAACCCTTTACAAACCCGCCGGTCAATGTGCACTGGCGATAGTCGGAATGCGTCCCTCAAAAAGAATTTCGTCATATCGAAGTCAACATGAAGCCAGTGTGAGGGAATTTACGTGGAGTCGCACATGCCAAGCACGCGGACGTGCCAAGTCCACCCGGAAGGTTGTCAATTGCGAGCGCGAATCGTTGCGGTACCACACACTCAGCATGATTTCGCGTGGCGACCAACATGCTTCCCCGCGGTACCAAACACTCAGCGTATCTCAGCGTGATTTTGCGTGGCGACCAACAGCCTTCCAACATCTTCCAACATGCTTCCCCCGTGTATCAGAGGGAATCAGAGACATGACCGAGCCTGAGTCAGAGCTGAGAGACAACCTCCACCAAATCTAAGTTTCAACCTCATCACTTCATACCACAAGAACCGCCGCCTCCATGGCAAAACGCTTCGCCATGCTTTGGGATAGATAGATAGCGAGACAGAGAGACAGAGAGAGAGAGAGAGAGAGAGAGAGGGGGAGGGGGAGGAGAATGAGGGAGGGAGGGTCTGAGTCTGAGCCTGAAGTTCTGGGCCCGAGCACTTGAACCCGCCAGGCTGGCCGGCGCAGGTCAGCAGACTGCTAGGCAATGCGTTCCGTATCTGCGGCGCCTGATCGCGCAAAGATCTCAGAAGCTTGGAAGTGGCTTTGCTGTTGGTGCCACTATCAGATTACTTCATCTGAAGCAGTAAGCACTTGCACAGGGACAAGGTGCTGTTTTTGCTCAGGACCATGCTGCTACGGCCCCGGAACTTTTCAGCCCATCCCAGAGACGCTCAAAGACCTGAGTCTACCAACTGCCCCTCAACCCCCCACGTCAGCCGAAGTTGGGAGCAGCTTGGGTCTCTATCTTAGCCTACAGCTTCGGCCTCCGGGCAAGATTTCTCTACGCAGGGCGTGGACTTGCCGTTCTCGATGCGCCACTCGCTAGCCTGCTTGAGAGCCATGGGATGAGGAGCTTGGCTTGATGCAACCTATACTATACATACACATACATACATACATACATACATACATACATACATACATACATACATACATGTATATAAGTTGCAATATACATAAATGTAAGAATATGTGTATATATATACATATAACATATATGTACATATATATGTATATGTGTGTGTGTATTATGCACATATTTGCCTATTTATCCAGATACACACAGACCAAACAAGGATTACAAGACTTGCCGCTTCCCAATTGAGGGGCCTCGCAGACGTAGTGGGTGGCCTCGGGGTCCGGATCATACCCTGGCGAGCAGCGGATGTCGCAGACAGCGCCGTGCGGTCGCCCCGCACAGGCTGGATCCTCGGGCTCAGCTTGATTTAGGAAGCCCCGACGGTGCCGCAAAGCAAAGACTCTTTGTCAAGGGTTTGACTGTTGGCCTATGTCTGTCTGTGACCATGAAAGGTGTCGTCTCTTTTCATCATTACATGTACTCCTTTGCTGTGGACTTGGATTTGTCTGTCCATCTCCTTGTTTTCCTCAGTAGATGCGGGTTACAAACTTCTCAAATTCCTGCACATGCCCACCCGATGAATAATAGTTCGTCGGTCGTGCGGGGTGAAGTGAATGTTCCTTGTGGTCAACAGCACGTTCCCGTCAACTCGTATGGTCAAAGGACAAACAGGGCTGGGCTTGGGTTGAGATATGCTGAGCATGTATTTCTTGCCGAATACTCGGCTTTGGCCATGGTCCAGAGATGGCCACAGATTGCCGATATTGGTGCTGTTCATGCGGCTGCCGAGAATTCCAGTGGCGCGCAGTTTCAAGAAATGCCTCGAGAACAAGACCTGCAGCTGTGTCTCACGTTTCGTTCAACTGTCCGAACAGGGCGCAAGAGCTGCATGCTTCCAAGCCCTCCAGTGACCCCAAAATCATCGGAAAGACCTCAGACCTGTTCACGCGAACTCTCCCGGGCTCCGGGCCTTCAGCTCTCCTGGCGACCACAGTGGCTCTCCAGAGCCTCATACAAGTCGAGGCAATGACTCCGAAGGAGGCAGCTCGGAGTTTCGGTCTGGTTTGCACCAACTTAAGCTCTGAGGAGGTGGGTCGGGTTGATGGATCCTACGCAATCCTACCACGGAGTAGACTCGTGCTCCATCCCGAACGTGGAACATGCGCGTTTCGAAATAACCAGCTTTGCAAGCCGGGCAACAAGGCAGTGGAAGGCAGCGAAGAAAGCCTTGGAATTGGCCATCCGCAGCACAACGCAGCTCGTGGCCGTCTGACTGATAGCCCGCGGCACATACGGGGGCACACGTGGAGTTGTAGGAGATACCTGTGCAATTGATACTGAGAATATTTGGCTGCAGAGGGTCATCCAAAGTCGGCAACGTACAGTTGATGTCCATGCAAACCTGGCTCGTTACCAGAGGTTGCAGACTCCCGGACAAGCTCCGCTCGACCATCCGCGGAACTGCGCTGGAGGACACAAGCTCCGACAAGTAGATGATGTCAGGATAGGCCCTCTCGGCATATGCACATCGGTACTCCACCGGCGGAACTGGTTGCTGGTAGTCCGCATCGCAGCGAAGTGAGCAGGCAGCGCCCAAGGGCACTAAATATCCCTCGCCCTCCACATCTTCTATCAGCTGAAGAGGGCCCGGCTGCCCATCCAGTACACAATCGTATGCACCGTCTGGGTGTGAACTCAGGTGGCATGGAAGGTCTACACAGGTCAGGTTGGATGCCCCCAATATAGAAAATGATCCATCCTTGCAGACATAGTCCTCCTCCGAGACGCTGTCGTCAGCCGGCACCCTCGGGCTTCGACAGCTCTCCCTGAAAATCGCTCCCTCATTTGCGATTGGAAGCTCTTCTTCTTGGCACGGGTTCTCGACGTGGACACCTAACGAAGCGCAGGTGCTTACCTGCGCCTCTAGATTCGCGATATTCGAAAGGAGAGGGCAGCAAGATTTGCTGAAAAGACACAGGGGTGCCCGCGCCAGCTCGAGACAGCTTTCGTTGGAGTTCATTGTCTCCGGGACACCAGCAAGACAGTTCGCAGCGGCACTGTCTGCGTCGCAGGTCTCGTCCAGATCCAACTGCTTCCCACAAGCGTTTTCAACTTGCAGTCCGGCATCTAAGCAGCTGTTGATGCTCCCTTCGATCGGCTGCTCAGCATCCAAGCAACAGCTAGCATCTCGCAGGCATGTAATGGCAGCGGGCAGTGCTACGCAGAATAGCTCGATATCCGTGATTGATATGACCGCCTCCAGGCACATCTGTGCCTGAGTCCGGTCGCATGGCAGCGTAGTGGTCGTGCTTGTGCTTGACACAGTCGGCGATGCCCAGTATCCAAACTCATAGCCGATAAGTGTCGTTCGTGTTCTAACATCTTCCTCGCCCGGAAGATTCTGACAAGGAGGAATGCAACGAGGGGGATCTGCCCCGTCCACGACCCAAGATCCATTCACGCATGTCAACTGCCCAGCGCGCGAGAGGCCGTTGGTGCAGTTGAACGGACAGGTGGAGCCGTTTAGAGGGTCCGAGCCGCAATCCTGTAGGGCTGTTTCAGGCAGCAGAGCTACGTTCGGCACAGCACTACAGCTGTAGGGCAAGGATGGCGGCACGGAGGAGCAGCTGATACCACCCAGCAGACTTTGGAAGTCCAAAGCCAGGACGCCCCGCGCCAGCACCGTCATAGCCGTGAAATCCAGAGAGTCCAGAAAGACTTCAACCATGGCGCTCTCGGTGGCAAAGAGCAGCCTGGAGCCAAATTGCCAAGCCATGCTGTAGGTGCCAACTGGAGCTCCTGAAACGGTAAAGGACTGGAATCCCGAGCCCTCGTGCCAGCGCAGAAATCCGGAAGGCACCATACTCGCGACGTAAGTCGAAGTGTCTTCCATGTATACAACGATGCCGCCGACCGCTGTCGGCGGGATGCCATGTGAGACGTTGGCAGACCAAGTCCGGTCAGTCACGTTGGGCTCCGAAATAGACGCAAGACCTTCTAAAGAGCTGATGGTCGTGTTGCCTGCAACATAGAGAGTGCCGTCGCTTCGAAACGCGGCCGATCGGACACTCGTGCCACTCGGCAGGCGTGCGACGAGCTCAGTCCGATTCTCTGCAACACGTGCTACGAATACACCGTCGCTGTACGTGATGAGGCAATACAGTATTGAGTCTTGCGGATTAACCTCGCAGGCATTCACCTGTCCAGCTCCCACGTCCAGTTGAAAAAGCCGTTGCCACGTCGCGTTTGGAAGAAGGCCTGCAATATCATAGACGCCTGCGCCGTCATCTCGAAGTGCAAACACTGTTGATTCGCCCTGACTGCAGTCAAAGGTGCTAAACGTTGAGCACGGCAGGTGAAGCAACAAAAGGCATGCAGTTTGCAGCACCAGCTGCCGGCGCAAACCCATGAAGTGATGCAAACCTTGAACTTGCTATTTCTACGAGGGGAGCTTGCAAAAGCTAAGCTAGCGGTAGCACAGCAAGGCTGCTCCTCCAATTAGTATGTTTTGTGTCCTGTGGATGCGAAATATACTGCCTGCCAATCTGCTTCCATGACGGCAGCGTCGTTTCGATTCATCTGCCACATGCATACTGGAATTTCGCGATCTGGCGAAGCTGTGATCTTCCACGGCAGCGTTCATGTTACCACACTGGCCACACGATGGTGTTCATGATTTAGATGAAGGCTTGTCTGATGTTGTAGCGCTGGGGGAGGCTGATCTCAGCCAGGTCTTGCTTTTGGGTTGGGAAGAGTGGAGGTGTCGGAAGCAGCTGAACCATGCACTACACGCTACTCTTTCTCCTTGGACTCCTTGCCGTCATGTCATGTGCAGCAGGCTTTGCTCCCTTCTCCTGATAACCGAAACTACACACTTTGGGAAGTTGTTCTCTGCCTGATCACAGAAGGACTGCGAAGTACAGCTCCACTGCTGCCGCTTTGCAGTTGCCTAATCGGCTGCATGCAAAGCAAAGACGTAGTGCACTTCTGCCCAGCCTGTCCTGAAGCGCTTGCTTCCGGAAACGGTTACAAGCACTTTCTGGCATAAGCACTGAGTCGGCGTTGTCGTCGCCACGATTCATGATGACAGTGCTTGGCATCGCTGCTGCTTCTGCTTCTGAAACTGCTACTACTACCCCAAGTAGTGCTACTGTACTCACAATCACATTGATGCTTGTGCTGGTAACCAGGACTCTGATTCAGACTTTATCGCTTTCAGCGTGAGCAATAGCAGCAGCTGGAGTACGAGTGAGAACGAGTGGCAGCAATAGTATTAGTTTTAGTCGTAATCTTGGCCTGTTATTTTGAGGGCCTTTGTTGTCTGCCCAGCGTCTCCACTACACATCCACCACTCCTGTAACTGTAGTCTTAGTCGTCTTAATCTGAGTCTTAGATTGTGAACGCATTCCGATTCGTTCAAAAATTGGTTTCGTTCCAAATTTGGCTTCGCCTTCAGCGTTGTCTGTTAGTCATGGTCCTGGTCTGGGTCTCAATGTCAGTGTTTGCGGCGGTAGGAGTGGTGGTGGTGGTGGTGGTGGTCGTGGTCGTGGTGGTCGTGGTGGTCGTGGTAGTGACGGTGGTGATGGTGGTGGTGGTGGTGGTGGTGTCGTCGTAGTTGGTAGTAGTAGTAGTAGTAGTAGTAGTAGTAGTAGTAGTAGTAGTAGTAGTAGTAGGAGTAGTAGTAGTAGTAGTAGTAGTAGTCGTCGTCGTCGTAGTAGTAGGGTAGCACTACTACTACAGTAGTAGTAGTAGTAGTAGTAGTAGTAGTAGTAGTAGTAGTAGTAGTAGTAGTAGTAGTAGTAGTAGTAGTAGTAGCATCAGCAGCAGCAGCCGCTGTCGTGGCGGTGATGACCACAGGGTGATGATGTTGACGACGGTGATGTTGGGATTGCATGGCGGCTTATGCTCTGTCTGATACTTCTTTGCTCGTCGTTGATAGTCTGATAGTTTCAGTATCCTAGCGGTCAAAAAGACAACATCCTCCATTCGAATGCTGTCTTGCACAACATGTCGAGAGTGCAGTGTGAAAGCATCAGTGCTTCAAGCCATTGAAACTCGACGGGACCGGCATGACTTAGAAATTTGGGCCGGGCTGTCCCAAGAGCGTCGGCACCCGCCTGGCTTAGGCCAATTCCATGCAAACATCTCCAGCTCAGGTGAGTAGAAAAAGGCGTCGGTGTGCGTTATTTCCTACTCGAAACCGCGTCTGCATTTACCGCCAAGCCTGCTGCTGCGTACGTACCCGAAGTCTTCCAACGTTTGAACTGCTACTGCTACTGGTATACTGCTGGGAAGGCCTTCATGATTCTTGGCTTGCTGTATCGCATCACATTGGATCTTCATGTGGCAAAGACTGCAAAGCATGCCCAGTCCTAAACACATCTTTCGCATCATCGGACATGCGGCTGTTGTCTAAACACGAGGAAGCGACAGTTGTTCTCGGAAACGACACTTCGTAGTACTTGCAACACACTGATTTCAAAGCTTGAAGTCTACGGCGCTCTACTCACTCACTTTCGATGTGCAGAATCAAGTCGGAAACAGGCGGAGCAGTCGGATGTCTTGAACCCTTCCTGCTCGACGCCAGTCGGCAAGCAACAGAGCCAGGTGGAGAATCGGCCAGCACAAGAAGGCTTGATCCTTCCAAAAACCACGCCACTACGCTTATTTACAGCAAGGCTGGCGCGGCTGGGGCTAAAAGCGGCCAAGCCGAACCAGGTCCAAGATGACACATCGATCCATCCACCCTGCAAAGCCGCCAGCTTGGGAACGTATACAGAGCTTCAAAAGACCCTCAAGAAGCCTGAGGTCAGATGACTTCAAAGGCTTCGTCCAAGTCTGAAAACACTCTACTATATCGCGGCCCTTGCCCTAGCGGCGGGAGAAAAGAACGCCTGGCTTAGTCCTGGGCCTGTTCGGAGTACAGTCAGACTGAAAGTGTCTCGTGCACTTGGAAACTGTTCCGGGATCCCCTCGGAAGCAATGTCCACCTCCGAGGTCCTGAGACAAGGGAGGCAACAAGTTCTGGTGCTTTGCCTGCTCATTTCGCATGATCTTTGAGCGGACGCTTCTGATTCTGGGGGAACGAGGCAGCGACTCCACTGCATGGAACCTTGGCACCTCAAGGCCTCTGCAAGCGCTTGGTACGGAACCCTTGGTTTCTTGCCTCTACCGCAGGAGTGCCATCACCAGCACCGAGAGCGCGAATCGGAGCACCAACCTGGCAGAAAAATGGCAGAAAGCACTCAGAGAGAAGACAGTCTCGTTTCTTGTTCCTGTCGTTCTTCTCATGTTCATGTAGACTTGCCGAACTTGTCGGCGACGGGTGGACCGCCACTATGTTACACTGGCGACATGCACAATACCATCTGGGTAGCTTGCGTCGGCCTGGCCCTTCACCCGTGAACTGATGCATGTTACCAGGATTTAGGAGGTCCGTCCCTGCCGGCGTATCTAGCGATCTATCAATCCGTCTACGTGGTGGTGTTCTGAATTTCGTGCCAGCACGATTCTCTTGTCTCTTGATCACGTTCGCTTCGATTCACCCAGGCTGGACACTGCATGAACTGAAGGACCAAGTACTACGAGTGCGATACTTGACGGCAGATAACATCAACTGCACGACTTTTGAACGTCCTTTCGATGGCCGTCTCCGGCACAACAAGACAAGAGGATCGAAGTCAGACACCGGTATTGCGCAAAGGCTGCGTGGAATGTTCCTGGCACTATCATTGGAGGAAGACGACACGACAGGAATCAATTCATCACCAACCAAGGAGCTGAAACAGTTCTTGAAACTCGCGTAAATCCAGAGCCTGTGAAAATCAACCGGTGTAACCCGAACGGAGGGGGAAATAGTTGCTGTACGAATCCTGTCAATGTGTCTTCAGCCCTGGCAACGGTACGTTCCACTGCCTGTCAGCTGCAAGGCTAGAAATAAGCAGTTCCTCAGAAGGCAATGCAGCAACTGGAGCTTCCCACAATCTGCACTCTAATCTTGCCACTGCTCGTCGCCCGTGACAGTCTCAGCATGTCTCAGCCCAGCATCCGTGGTTGAATGATCGGCAGTGCTGGTGCTGGTGCTGGCGGGCTCCTCGTTGCGTCAAGCCAACAATCCACAGGTCAAACGACACCAAGGCAGAGACGTCGAGTAAGACATGACATTGCAGGCACGGGAGTCTTCCGTTTGCAGTGAAGCCCAATCAGCGATGTCAGGTTCATACTTTAAGTCGCCGTTAGGCCTGCTATCGCTATGTGTAGACGGCACATTTTCCACGAGTGGCCCTGCTTGCCAAGTCTCCGAAGTCGAATTGGCATCACCATCCTTGCCGAGGAGCGGCTTGAAACATGGAACTACGGGAAAGGTGAAAGCACTTTGAGGGGTTGCCAAACCATCTGCCAATTTTCTTCCGCCTCAGACGCCGATGTGGTCGAGGTTGTCGTCGTCGTGCTGGACTCCTGAGCAACAGTATGATACCAATAGATACAGTGACGTATCAGACATGAGATTCGCGAGCCAATGCTCAGGCATGCTCAGGCAACTCAAACACTGTGCGACCAAGGCTCTTGACTCGTGGTGGTCGTGGTGGTGGTGGTGGTGGTGGTGGTGGTCGTCGTGGTGGTCGTGGTGCTCGTAGTGGTCGGGGTCGTGATACCCTCGGCTTGACAACCTCAAAGCCTCTCCGCGTAACAGCCTTCTGCCTGACAACTTGTATTTCGCACCGACATCCTGGCTCAAGAACACAACATGAGGACATGTGACCATGAAGAGTGTCACAGACCCAGAAATAACCAGAAGCACTAGCTTTGCTGTGCAGCACAGCCACGAGAGCCGCCTGGCACACACTACAGGTGCGATCAATTACAGTATTACAGCCTGCTTCGTCTTTGCTGCTTCGAGTTGTGTGGATGTGTCTTCTAACACTACGTGCACAGGCTTGGCTAGGAATGTTGACTTTACCCTTTCGAAGCTTTCCAGTGACGAGCTCGACTCTTGGCACTTGGCAGTACATCTGCCGGGACTTGAACATCAAGACGATCTTCCTTCAACCGTCTCAGCTCGCGATGGAGTATGCCAGCATAAAACTCAAGAGCCAACCCGCGTCTGATACCTCCCCCGCGGAATACCTCCGCGCGTCTGATACCTCCCCCGCGGGCGCGTCTGATGCCTCCCCTCTCTCAGTAGTTTCGCTCAGTATCCGCGCGTCTGAAACTATCTATCTATCCTTCCCCCCACCGTTCGGGGATCCGCGCGCCAAAAGCTCACCACACCGCGGCGGCACGACGGGGAGCAGGAAACACGCAGGACTGCGGCAGGAGCACAATTTTTGGAACACGAGCCACAACCAAAATTTGCATGGCACTGTTGGGCGGATTTGTGGAAAGAACGCAGCTGTAATCGAAAACTCGTACAGCTTGCAGTTTCTCTAGTTCCTGCAGTACCGCTTTCCTATGGCCCCTGCAGACGGTGGTTCCTGCAGTCCTGAGAAAGATTTGCATGCTCCCTCCCGGCGCTAGTAGAAACAATTACTATCAGCATTAGTATGAAGAAGACATCCGATTGCTACCGCAACCGAGTAATTTCTACAAAAGTGCAGATTTGTATGATTATGCTGAAGCCTGTAACGAATTTGCTTAAGTGTACCAACATCCGAACTACCTCGATCGGAACTACTCGTCCGGGACGAGTTTGAGACACAAGCATAGGGCCTCATGCAAAAGGGCCGAGACTCCGCACCCTCAGCGGATTTTAACTGCGGTCCTTTGAGGAACCCCCCCCCCCGCCTTCGTCTTCTCTTGGACTGCCTCGACCCGCGACTTGACGGTGCGGGTCTTGGAGGTCATAGCCACGCCGGCCTCCATCGCGGGATAAGGTTTGGTGTGGTGCAAAAAATCATCTGACTGCGTCACGGGATGCTCGGTGTAGGAAATCATGCTTCTCCAAGCGGAATCCTTGCTCAAGGGGACCCGAGTGAGGGATGGTGTGTCAAAAGTCTCCCGCGCCACTTGGGGGCTTGGAGCTAAGGGTTTCTGTTTCGCTTCAAGACCTCACATGTAAGATCTGGCTACGATACAAGTTGATGAGGCCGAAGCTGCGTTGCCGGAAAGCTGACAACTTCACCGACTAAGGACACGTCGTCAAGCCGGTCTGCTTTATGTACTTGCGTCCAGGTGCGCACGGGATATGAACATCAACCAAACAACACGACCAGCTTTACCAGCAACAGAATCATTGTCAAGACGGTCATGAGCAACATCGTCATGGTCATGGCTTACAGTGGTCGCCACGAGGACGAGCAGTTGTCACTTGCGAGTATCCAGCCAACGAGGACATTATGGTGAAAATGATGCTGCTCACAGAGTACTGCGATATGATTCAGCTATGCTGGCTTGTCACGGCTAGCACTGCGAGTCATGGACTCTGCGCTCATGATCAGAATCTCAGGATCATCTGTATGGTGCACTCCGGTGGGAAATTCCACAGATTCGAAGTTCCTCCTCTACAACTGTCTGGATTGCCCAAGATAGACGCATTCCCTACGCATGACACGAGGTGAGAACTATCTGATTCTCGAGCCCACTTCCACCTCACCGATAGCCCGTGCAGTCCAACTTTGCATCTGCTCCCCAAGCTCTCCAAGAATCGGCGAGAAACCGACGCAGGGCGGCCTTGGTGTCCACGTTGCCCATCGAGGAGAGTGCACTGACCATGCCAGCGCTGCTGCTCTTCACCTGATGAGGGGCCCTACACGAAAAGGATGTACCAGTAGTGTGGCCGCTACGTGTGCTGCACGTGCTCCTTCACCCTTTCGCCGACTTGGATTTTTGCGGCTATATGTCCGTTTACCATCAGTGCAGAGCGATGGAATTTGCCGCTGAACTGCTCAACTGCACTATCGTTCGCGGTGGTGCTTCTGATTGTGCCTCTTCCTCATGTCAATCGCGTCTCTTGATCAAAGGGTCGACACCTGCTTCTTCATCTGCTCGGCCACTGCCTCTGGTGACACGGTGGTGGCTCCTGGTCATGTTGAGGCGAGTTGCGCTTATCCTATGTCCACGAAGAAGCACGTCGTCCGTGTGGGACTACCAATTGGTGGACTGAAAGGTCCTGCATTTGAGATGCTGTACCTTGGCTTGCTCTTCAAAGCAACCTCTGTCTGGGTAAGCCTAGATGCCAAGAAAGTTTCGTCTGTTCTGTTTAACTCGGCTCGGCGGCGAGAGCACAGAGCCGCTCCCCGAGAGCCAGCGGCCAAGACGGCGCGAGCCGCCCTTGAGGGCCAGCGTGGATTGGAGCCTTGGACTCGGATTCGGACGCCGAAAGAGACGATGAAGGGGTGGCCGCCCGGGCGGTGCTCAGCCACAGATCTACGGCCCGATGGACGAGATGCTCATGCTCGTGCAGATTGATGGTGATGACAGTGATGATGACGATGATGATGGTGACACCCCCAACAACTAATGTACTTGGGGGTTCCTCGTTGCTGTTCGTTGCTCCACGGGTCCGTGACCGAAGACCCCTAAGTACATTACTATCTCAGGTGGAATGTCCCACGGAAAAAATGCACTGGGATTCCTACTGGACCCGTCGGAACAGGCGGTAATGCACTTCGAACCCCCAAACATCCATGTAACAACCCCCTCCAAGTACATTAGGTCAGGCAGGCGTGGTGGTGATGCTAATGATGGTGGCAGCGACGGCGACGGCGGCGGTGGTGATTGTAGCGCTGATGCTCAGGTTGACGATGACAAACAAGCCACGACCACTGTACTTTCGTCATCTCTTGCCACCGAGGGGGCCCACTCGGTAGCTGCAACTGGGCGTTCAGCAGGACCCGGGCGTCCTGCCACGATTTCCAGCGACCGTGGTGAAACGATTTCTCGTCTCGAGGCTCCTCGGACTTGCCCTGGGCATCCGAACTTGTCCTGATGAGTCAGTGTTTGATCAGAGCGAGGAAGCACAACAACACCGAAGTTGCAAGTGGGACCAGAAAGTGCCGCAGTGGATATCTATCCGTGGACACAGATTTCGGCGTGACAGTCTGCTGAGCCCGGCACGTCTCGAGCGTCAAGATCCTTGGCTTGGGCATGGAGCAGATTTCCGACTGGTCAAGGACCCCAACACAAATGAAAACCACAGGTTGTTCCGGGAGTCACCGTGGACGACTGCTGCTCGCCGCTGTTGATGGCCGTAGCGTTACTGCTGCCAGCGTTGTATAGGTCCTAGACAGGGCATGTCGCGGTCAACGGTACCTCTCGCGGCGGACGACAAAAGCACAAGACAAAGCAAGCAACGGAATTGCCGGAAGAAATCCTGGCACTGCTTTCCCGCGGGGATCACGGATCCAGATGGACCTTTGCATGCTCTGAGGCGCTCTCGCTTCTCTGCTTCTTACTGTTGAGCTCGCGACACTTCTTCATATTCCGCCCTGGAAGGCATCTCTCTGGGAGCAGGCAGCCTCGGCGACACGAAGGAGAGGAGGGCCGGAAGCCGAGGAGCCGTGCGTTTTGCCCAGGGACTAATGGTTTCGGCCTGGAATTCGCCAGCATCCGTAAGGTGAGTCCTTGCAACGCCAAGGCATCGCTATCTCACGGCAGTCTGAAGGCTGTTCCGCCATGGCACTGGATGCAGGTCTTGTTGCCGGCAGCTTCGTCAGCCGGTGTACAGGGCTTCGGGCACTGGTTCAGCAGCGTGCCTGAAACGTGTTCAACACAGCACAGCAATGACATCGACATGAACATTCCCCCACAGCTCTTGCCGGCAAGGACAGCAGTAAACAAAAGTCTTTTCGAAACCATGCATGTCAATCAATAAACTAGTTAGAGAAGCGGATGTGGAAACATAGATTAGTGACATGCTGAAATGGCGAATGAACTCGAGCGACGGCTGATAAATTGCGAAAGATGCCATCTTTAAGCCACGATGCCGCTGAACTTCGGGTTGCAGATGTTCGAGTCTGCGTCCTGACCAAGAGCAGGAGCCATGTTTTGCAGACAAGTCTGAACCACGATGCTGCAGGTGCTACATGCAAGACCACTTCCTGCGGAGGCACTGCTGCTCAAGGTGCTGTCAGCTTCCCGCTAATGTTTGACAGTTCAGCAACCTGCCTCTGGCCGAGACCCGAATGCATCCGAACGCCACTGCTGGGACGGGAGAGAACACTAACTCAGTTGAGACTCGTTCGGATCTGGACACGTCAGCCTTAGCCCAAGGCATCCGATGCTGACTGCTCGATTTCAACCGCGAACAACGACAGTCATCAGAAAGAAGCCTCCAACGTGCACAAACTCGTGTAGCTCTGCAGAATCATAAGGACAGAAAGGCTCGTTCTTAAGCATACAGCATCAAGCATGCCAAGAACCAGAAGAACAACAACAAGAAGCAAAGTTCGTAAATGTCGGCAACAACCCCTCCACCGTACATTCTACGCAATCCCTGCAATCATTGCAGTTACCAAAACATCCTAAGTTCCAAGCAGCAGAGTGCCATCGTCCTAGCAGTCATTCTCATCATAATCATCATCATCATCATCATCACCATCGTGCTTCATCATCGCCGTCAGTGCAATGTTATGGTCGTCGCTTGTTGGCACTTCCTGTAGTTACCCGATGCGACAAGCAGAACCTATCGGATGCGGGCTTTTCATGGGGGAGTGCGACCTGGTCACGTGTTGTTCCCACAGGGGCACTTGGTGCTCCGGCTGACACAAACTGTGGAGAGTCCAGCAACTTTGCCTGCCCGTGGGATATTGCGTGTGATTCTGTAAACTGCAACTGTGGGAGACTGGGTGACAGTACCTTCTAATTACCTCCTTCCTCATCCTGCTTTTCCTAGGTAGCCTGCTCCACACAATCACCACTGTGGTCGTTGGCTGCGCAGCTTCTGACGAGCCTGCCGTTGTAAAGTCTCTGACGTCGCACTGCTTCTGGGACTCGAGACAAGGGCACAGCACCTGCGTCTGAGACCTGATCAGAAACTGGAACGAGCCCTTGCAGGAAGACTGACACGAATCTTGCGCTGTAGGGGCCTACCGACTCACACATCTAACTCGCTTCAGAGTTAAGCCCGCGCTATGTGGAATGTTGCCGAATCCGAAACAATTTCTGCTGACGAGGAGACGTCGGCAAGCACAGATTTTCGCCGGGGCATCGACGTGTGTTCCTTGGTAGTAGCGCCCTGGCTGGGACTGGGAGGTGCTACAAGTAGTCGGGCAGCTGGCGAGCCAATTGAGTGGTAGTCGTAGACACAGACAAAGACCGTGCCGAGCATCTTGCCACATGGGCATTTAGCATCCTCCGCTACGCAGACTTCGCGCTCGCCTGGAGATCTGCAGCGGTCAGTCAGCTCGGCTCGCTTGTCGCAGCAGTTTTCACACTCCGTGAAAGTGGGACCCGTGCCGAGGTAGTCTTCGTTCTCGGCGAAATCGTACACGAAGCACTTCTTTTCGTTCGCTTTGCACGTGACGGGGCAGAGCTCGTCCTTGCATGAAAGGACCATTTCGAACCCCAAGCCGTTTCGACAACAAGTCAAGAATCAATACCCCGCCTTCCCTCAAACTGCACGCAAAGGCAACAAAAACACGCAGCTCTGCGTTGCACGAGCCTTGAAGATGCAGCCCATGAATCCTCCGCAGTTCCTGGGCAGCTTTTGCTCGACATGGCCCAACCCTAAACCCTAAACATAGCTTGGCGGCTTTGCCATCTTCCCGCAGGGACAGACTTCCAGGCTGGCTGCGCAGTGAACCGCCGGTTGCGAAACGCCTGCGACAAAACTGAGGCCGTGAGCGGCTGTGCGGCTGTGTGAGGCTCTTGGAAGAGGTCCCCGGCCACACTGCCTGCCCAAGAGCCATCGGGCCGGTAGTCCTCCAGGAGCTAGAATTCGCTGGATGCACAAACGATGAGGTCTATATCAATCGCTTTCAAAGCCTACAGTCAAACCCTCAGGCGAATTTCTCCCCGCGGTCATCCACTTCAGGGCATTGAACTTGTCCAGCGCTGCACTTAGGAGGGCAATAGCCTGCAGCATGGGGGACTTGACACCTTCACTTGGCAAGATGGTGCGATACTAGATATGTGCATCGAGTGGAACGTTCGGGGGGTGAGATCTGATCCAAAAGAACTGCTGGGCCGAGCTGAAGCTTCTGAGAGGAGCACCACCATTGATGGGGAGGCACTCGGTGAATGTCACGCCAGCTTCCTGCCACACACACCCCGGGCACTGAATCAACCCTTGCCCAGTTGACACCCTTTTCTAGTCAACACCCCATATACCAAGCTGCGCTAACTGCAAACCCCAGTACAGTACAAACCGAGCCTTGGTGAGGCAATGGCAACTCACACTAGCGCTAGATTGTCCTTGTTGTGTGTTGAGAATCTTTCCGTCTGCACATTGTGAGGGCTTTGGTTGACTAAAGTGCTCATGACTTTCTTGGTGTGTCTGTAGTCGCTCGTTTTTCGACATCATAACCAAGCACTGACCAAGTACCGGATTCTTCCTTGGTGCTATCCTATCCTGGCATGGGTTTCGACTAACTTATTTCGTGGTCGCTCCGCCAACGCTTGCCCAGGCACGGTGTGGTTGCACGAGAAGGCATTCTGACCCTTGGAGCAGTCACAGTAGGCTCCCCGTGGAACCTCGGTTGCAGGGATGCCTGACACGGAGGCAGTCAGAGGAGCAGTTGGGGTGTACATGCATGCATGCATGGGTGACACGGCGGGAAGGATATTACTTGAGAAATTCGTTGGCTGCCTCAGCCTGCGATGAGTGTGGCCTGAAAGACTCATTCCAAGGGAATTCCAGCTGTATCAGCTTGCATGGATGCGTCCATGGATGTCAGCTCTGCCATGCAGGAGTGGTGGCGCCTGGCCTTTCTAGCCAAATTGATCAATGGATATTATGCACCTACGAACATGGAATCAGGCTTGAAGAAGCTGGTCGTTGTGAATAGCCCGAGCGGCACAGTGTTTCTCCACGCTGGCCCAGTCGCCACTTGCAGTAAAGCCTTCCAGGAGCTGCAAGCGATCTGGAGGTGGACACAGGAAGCCACAGACGCGCAGCTTGCATTTACACGACACACCTTTCAAACAGCATCCTACACTCTCGAGCGTGACTCGGCAAGCCAGGCAGCTGTCAATGAAGCATGTGTCTTGGTCCGCCGTGCAGAAGACAGGGCAGCGCATGGCACCTGAGACGAGATCGGGGCTGAATCTACAGCAGCTGATCCCCTTCTGCAAGTTCTCGGCCGCACCAATGACCAACGCTGTACTGTGCTGGTACCGTGGAGGGTTACACATCCGTGCTACCCACGGTTTCGCTCTGGTCACAGAGCCCTGACACGTCAGCGCATCTTTTCCCAGAGCCCTGACACGTCAGCGCATCTTTTCCTGCTGCAATCGATGGAGTCACGAGCACAGCCTGTCCAGCTCCGTTCTCAGGAACGGACGACGGACGGGCCTGGGACGGCATCCTAACCAGAAGTCACAACACCATCGCCACATGTCCTGTACCGGAAACTTGTCGCACGCTCTCTGACAGCTCGGCTCATCTCAACCACCGCCTCACGAACACGGGCAAAGCAAGGACGGTTGATGGGGATTAGCAGGTTGGTGACGCAGTACCGTGATGGCTCGGATTCACTTGATACTGGTTTGCCGGCTCGCCTCTTGTAAATGCCCTGCTCGACCAAAGCCTCGATTGGGAGCTTCCGCACCTTTTCCATGTCTGCAGTGGTGATATCCCGGCCGAGGACAGACATCCAGGGCATTCCGAGCTGTCCTGCAGTCAAAGAGATACTCCTCCTCCACCTCAAGTCCTCCTCCTCCCGCTCCGACTGCTGCTGCGTGCTACCGCCGACGACGGCTACTACCGTTGCTACCACCAGTACCACTGCCCGATAAGAGGCTTCTGCCACCCTATTAGTTACTTTAGTTACAGCCGTTAATGATCTCGCGAAGAATGATATGTGCAAATCAAGTTGCGTTTAGCTGCACGAACTACCGAAATCACTGGTACGCCCCCCAAATTTTACGAAAAAATACGGCGAATATCTTGAGAACGGAAAATTACTTTGGAAGCTTTGGGCATTGGGCATGTGAGCAAAGTCTTAACCGTAAGTAGCTCCAAGTCAGGCCTTCGACGCAACAGCAGGGGCTAAGTGGCGGTGGAATCGCGCAAGAAGCCCAGATTGAATCAGTAATGCAATGGCTACCGCTACCAGGAGCACAAACACTACCACTACAACGACCACTCCTACTCCACCCTGCTCCTTCTCCTCCACCGGCCCTACTGCTGCTACACTCTGACCACTACCGCAGCTAGCACCGTGACCGCCAGCACCGCGACCGCCACAACAGCTCCGCCGACGATGACGCAGAACGTGCTGCCTGATTCTGGCAACATATTTAACGCGTAAGCGTAGCGGCGACGTAGCGACGGCATACCCGAGCTGCTGCAAAGAGGCATTGCTAAAAAGTTGAATCATCGATTCTTCTACGACGTGCAAAACTGCACAATCTCCATGTCAGTTTGGAGCTCCTGCGGTCTTGGAGAAGCCGCTGCCACAGCCATCATTGCAGTTGGTCCCCGGGCTCGGGCTGAGAAGGATCCCACTCAAGGCCAGAAGATACCAGTCTGCGTAGACCTGGCTGAGGCCGACAATCCTAGCAATTGAGTGATTCGCATCCGACGTGTCCTTCTGGATCTCGAGGGAGCTGGCTTTCTTGTCGGTGGAGTGCACTGACAGACCCGCATTGGACAAGACCTGAAAGGCCCGGATCCGCAGGACGCAGACGCAAAGCCTGGGGCTCCTCTGCCGTCTCTCTCTCTTACATGGTGCCTTGAAGGCGAGCTTACGCTTCGTCACCTCCAGCGCCTTCGCGCTATCGCTTGCAACGAAAACCACCGGCCGAGCCTGCAGGGAGAGAAGTGAGCAGGTGTGATGGCTTCCAGTGCTCCGCTCTACGTTCTCCATCTCGCTGTGCGTTGTTTGCTTACTCTTACTCTGCAATCCGGCGGCGTCCAGTGGTCTCAAGGCCCAGGACAGCGTCTGCAGCAAGCTGTTCACGTGGACCAGGTAGTGCTGGAGAGGAACTTGCGACCGCTCGTCGTCGTCGGCGCCGGAAACTCTTCCGAGCTCTTTGCTCATTCTCGCGTCACCCATCCTGATATGGATGCCCACCAGGAAGGCCTCTAGCTGCGCGAGTTGAGAAGCTACGAGGATAGTATTCGTCTACTGACATGACGCCACAAAGAAGTGCCTTCGTAGTTGCCAGTTCTTTCAAAACAGGATGCAGGAAGCGGAGCATGTCCGGCTGCGGATCGCCCATAGCAAATCGCATTGCGCACTTGCCGAAGAGCTTGAACTTTCGTACGAGGACCATGGCCCTCGCCTGATCGGACTCACTCCATCTGTTGGAACTCAACTGCCGCATCATCCGGTCTCTGCAATCCAGAGGTACGATCTGCCCCAGACTCCGAAGGTTCTTGCTTCCAACTCCAACGAAGAGGCTTGCATTCGGGGAGAGCTTCCAATCTGAAGGTGAATTCAAGATATTGATGCTCGAGTATCTACCAGAGTAAACATCCAAGAAATGGGCATTGCAATCATCTTTGTCCCGGAACTTGGTGTGTAACTTGCCTGCTTCTACTGCCGCTCCCAGTTTCTTGAGCAAGGCCTCCGTTGTGATGCTTGAGACTTGCATCGTTTCAGGCCGGTGTCTGGAATGAAGGAGGTTGAAAAGTGGACCATCTGAGGTCAGCAAGATGGGCCGTCGCAGCATCCATGCTACCATGAACTTGACCTGCCAAAACATGATGCTGCTAACTCCCCTGCTGGCAGGAATTGGAATCACGATAGCGGTCTTCCAGCTGGTCTCGCTAGCGCCTAAGACTGAGCCATGCCACGCGTAGTCTCCGCATGCGATCTGTCCCCTGAATGAATAGCCCTTGACGACGGGAAGCTTCTCCCAGAGGGTTCCTGCGCCTTTGGACGGAGGGCGGCTCTTGCCCTGACCCTGGCTGGGTTGAGGAGTTGCTGCGCTTCCCGTGGCAACTGCTGCGGCTTGCGAAACCCTGTTTGAGATGTTTGAGGAGGGGCCCTGAGTCGATGCGGCCCAAGTGGAGTATGTAGCCGATGTGGTTGGCGAGAACAGCGGCAGAGGTCGCTCTTCAAACACCTTGAGGCCCTGGGTGCCGGGATTCACCATCAGGCGGCTGCTGTCGTGCAACCATTCGACCAACATGGATCCACAGAGGAGCACCTGACTAGTTCAGCGAGATATGGAAGGGCTTGGACGGCGGGCCTTCACATGCCTCAACTATCTATGTCAAATTCCTTTTTGCACCGACCAGTGATTGACGAAAACAGGAACAAGAAGAGTACAAGAAAGTAGGTTCGCAAGGCACCACAAGCCACAGAGTTGCTGTCCCACATGCCAAGCCAACAGCCACCCTGCACAGCATGCCCCGGGCTTCCCAGAAGCCTCCGCGGCAAACATGCGCAGCTCATGTGCAGTCGGTCTTCCAGGATCACGGACTCAATGCATTTTCATGGCGGCACGCCCCCCCCTGGGCCCTCGCTTATTCCGCTCGCTGTGGCCAAGCTCTGCGGCTCCGAAGAACACGGGTGCAGATTGGAGAGACCAACGGATCGTGGCTGCGGCAAAACCCGAAGATCCTCTGCAATACTGAGTCCGGGAGTCGCATTTCAGCCAAGATGCTGTTCATCTCGCTGTCCCAGAGTGGGTAGCAATAGTGCTCGTCCTGAACTGTCAAAGCGTGCAAGGACCCCGGAGACCCCTTTTTGTGGAAGGCCTGCAATCTTGGTTGTTGTGGGCCTGTCGAGAAGAACCCTCCTACTCTATGTCTGAACTGTCATGTCATTTCCAACCAAGTCGCTGCGAAGGGGTCATAGCATCGCTGCGAGTTCGTGCCGCACAGACATGGGTTCGCTCGCTTCTCGCAGACTTCTCGAACTTCCAGTGGATTGCCGCGCTTGTCGTAGTCCTTGTATGGACCCGTACACATGGCAGGCAGGAGGTGTATCTGGCATATCGCTGGGCAAACATCAATCAGAAAGGCCGCTCGGACAGACCAAGAGTGCTTTTGCAGATGCAGCCAAGCATCCAAAATGAAGCACTTCTTCTCATCTGACGCACAGGTCACAGGGCAAGTAATCGTGTTCGGCTCGCAGAACTCCTCCTGCTGCCTGCAGCTTTGCGGACGGCTCAAGCAAGGGCTCCAAAAATTCGTGCTGTCGGAACGACAAACTGAGGCGGAAACCCGAATTCATCCTCAGCTGGTGCTGACGCTGAGGTGAAGTCATGAGCGGCTCGCAGAATGACAGCAAAAAGAAGGCCCCAACGCATGAAAACAAACTTGTCTACCATTTTCTTCACTGTGCACACGACCTGCACTGCATAATTACTTTGGGCAGCGCCGGCAACACGACACGACGCTAGAGCTCAGAAACACTGGCAGCTTCTTCAATTGTCAAATCCGGTGTTGCATCGAAAGGTGGCACCATGCCGTGAGAGTGCTTGCAAGCTCTGATCTAGGGCGGTTGGTTGCACAACGGTTGTGCCAAGGACCGAGATGCATTCCACTCGACGCTTGGTTTTTGGAAAGCTTGCGCCCCTTCTGTTTCCTCATGTTTCCTCGTAGGGCCCTGATGAAGCCTGGCTTCGTGAAGTGGCGATGCGGCGACGAGCACATCGGAGTTCCACGTGCTGGAATCATCTAATCAAACTCGAGCGGAAGCCCGCGAAGCCTGCTTTCTCTTGCCGTCCATGCGCTCTGAAGAATGCTTTCATGGAACGGGCCCTCCAACCCCGAATGCGCGTCGGTTAAGGAGGATTTGGATCGCCGAGTCTTCGTTTCTTCGTAACGGTGCCATCGGATTGGCTTTGAGCTGCACCTGCCTCCCGCCCTGAAACTTTGACTCCTTTCCTTTTCGATCTACTTTTGGGGAAGTGTAGGGACGTTGCTCCAGAGACGCCGGGTGCGCATTTGAAAGCCTCTGTTCCGGGGCGGCCGTCGTCATCTACCTCCCTTCGAAAGCGGCCTGTTTGTAGTTGAGTCGCTCCCTCTGATTGTCAGAATCTTTCGCAGTTTCCAGTCGTCCAACACGAGCTGCTTAGCGACTTTCAGCTCTGTTGATCATGCGTCATCTGACGTGTCAAACGGAAACTGAGTCCAAGCAGCCACCCATCTGCACATCTGAGCATTTGCGCCGCAGGGGCACGACCTGATTTGCAATCAACAAGACATGCTCCTGTCATCGAATAGTTTCCCGAATAATGTTAACCTCATATTTAGAATCCCCCGCATAATTGCAAAATCCGATTCCCAGAACGTAATTAGAAACCCCCCCCCGTATTTGCAGAATCCAATCGGCCAAAGCGGAAAAAACTGTAAGCAGAATCTACAGGAGCTGAAAAGGCTTTGGGACTGTTGGGGATTCTCCAGGGGCTGCAAGCAGGGCTCTGACACGTCTGGCTTCTGGACTCTGCTCTCATGCTGGACCCGGACTCTTATCCGCCGAGGCCAGAGGCCCAGCTTCCCCTCATTTTACCTATCGGCCTCCCCCCCCTCCCCCCCCCCCCCCCCCCCCCCCCCCCCCCCCCCCCCCCCCCCCCCCCCCCCCCCCCCCCCCCCCCCCCCCCCCTCCCCTACCCATTCTCCTCGCACTTCGTATCAACAACCGTGTAAAGGTTGGGGTTTGACAGGCCGCCCTAGCATAAAAAAACATCGACTGCCCCCTCGCCCTGCCGCTACACAGCCGAGGCGGGCGGCGTAGCGTTAAAATTACGGAGGCTGAAGCTCCCATCCTTGCGGGGGGGGGGGGGGGCCCTTTCTTAATATGAAGTGAACATTACGACGGGCCCGAAACACCACTACTGCTTTCAGCGTTCCTTGACACTTTGGTAGCTGAGTCACTTCGACACATTTGCACAGCTCTCCACAACCGGTGCGTTCCAATCTGGTTGGCCTCGCAACGTGCTGAAGGCAGTGTCTGGGGCATCACTGCGGTACTGAAGCAGTATACTCCATACTGTCCAAACTCCATACTGATTCGATGAGTTCAATGTGTCATCGCCCACGCCTTGTGGGGTGTAGGAAAGCGGATAGCACATCTTCTCTCGGATTGGGTGGCAGTAGACGGGACAGCCGATCGACGCCTCGGAGACTTCCGAAGCGGGAACACTGGACAAAAGCGGGGTCCCGCAGTGGACCGCAGAGTTCGCGTATTTTAGTCTTGGGCCCAGCGTCGGCTTCACAGTATGGTTCGTAGTCGTCTTCGTAGGGGTTTGTGCACTGCGTCGCACCGGCTCCGCAAGGACACGGCTCTGACTTGGGTGCACCTGGGAGACCAGCGGCTTCGTGCTCTGATTCAAGATATTTCAAGCTTACTGCAAAGCACCGCCTTTTGAGACACCTCCGGTTCTTGGAGCTACGGGGGCCTTCCATTGGCGGCCGTGTTACATTGCTCCACAAAGCCCGTCATTCCTCCATTGCCGTCGAAGTTTACCTCGGCGGTCGTCAAGCCCACTACAAGTACCATCCACTACCTAGTAGAAAGTATGGAAGCTGTCGTCAGCCAGGGCACGACCCAGCAGTATTTCTGCTCGTCAGTGCAGTAGACTGGGCACGATTCTGTCTTGGGAACGCAGTGAAAGCTGTCATCACCGTCTTGGCACCTGGCACATTTATGCCCCTTTTGTATCGTTCCGTTGGAAACTGGAGGCGGCGCACTGCAAAACTGGCTGAGATGTGCGCGCGCACGCACACTTCGCAAGACAAGGCTACACCATGCAGGCTGACACAGCATCAATCGGCTGGCAGGCCACTGCGTCTCACTTGATCATTCGATTCCTGCTTCGCACTGATTGCCAAAGCGGCCTTTGCGCTGTTGCATCATCGCAGACGACTGGACAATCTTCCCCCTCGTAGCAATACTCGTTTGTCCACTGCCTCAGCAGACTCGAAGTGCATGTCAGACTCTAGCTTAGCACGAAGACCTTGCTCACCAAGCAGGTGCACCCTGAATCCAGCCCGTGCGCGCTTTCTCTTTCCTTCGGCATGTCCGTTGTAATCAGTCTTTCCACTTTAGGTGCTTTTGGCTGAATTGAACATTCTTGTCCTGCAAGCATGCCTGGGTCGATGTTCCGGTTGCTCCATGCGCAGTTGCGAGGCCCGAACACATCAAGTTGCAGCTTTGTTGGCTGGACGCACGAAGACTCTTGAAGCGCTATGGGCTTCAGGGATCGGAGCCCGTGGCCCACCTCCTTACGTGCCTTGACGTGAACTTGACATGGGTTGGACCTTTAGCCGCAGAATCTTAAAATGGGCAGGCAGGTGGCCAGGCGCCGTTGGCATCGAAAGCAACAATGCCACAGTAGAGCTCATCGGCTGTGCACCGCAAAGGACACTGCCCGTCTGCGTACCACTCCTCGATTGTTCACAAGGATGTCACAATTCTCATGCACCGATGCACTAATTGTGCAGGGGCCCGTAGCAAACCTCGAGGACCTAGGACACTACTATACGCTAGTGGTACGAAGATTTCGGGATGGTTTGGCCGTGCCACGCTCGGCTCGCACTCATAGAGGTTCGTCTCCTGCACACGGCATAGAGAGGGATGGGTGGGTAATCGGTGGATATGCGTGGACGTGGATATATTGGAACACGATCACTACATGCTAGAGTTTATCAGAGTCTACTCAGAGTGGCTGCTAGAAGTAGCCGTGAGGTAGAAGCCTAAGCCCTGAGCTCGTCTGAACAGCCCGGCCCACGGTCCGTGTTCAGGCATCTCAGCTCGTCAGTCTCGCAGTTGCAGCCCGACGGCGTGGCGCAGCTCTGATTGCCTGAGCTCGGACTGGCCGGGTTCGAAACTGCGGCGACCTGAACTCAAGCCGGCACACCCGAGCCGTAGTGGTAGCAGATGCCCAAGTCTCCACAGTCCAGAGGACCTGGCATCCACGCAGCGCTCTGAGCTCTGAGCATGGGGACCAAAGACTGAGGCTGTAATAGTGCATTAATCCCGTGAGCAGCCACGTCTCACAAACAAAATCCGATGCACCGCCTGGGCCTAGGCCTTTGAGGCAAGCCGCATTGCTCAGACACCGGGATGCAGAACTTGTCACCTTCGAAGGTGCACGATCGCTCCCAGCGCGCGTTGCAGGGGCAGCCTGCAACAGCTCTTGGAAACGATCTTGAGAATTACAGCCCCTCCTTTACTTGACTGTAGCAGTCACGGCTGGGCCCACCGTCCGTCTCGTTGGCGCAGACTTCCGTCCATTGCCCATCGTAGTCCAACATGCCTGTGTCCTTGGCCAGTCTAACTAGATACGGTCTGTAGTTGAAAAAGCTTTAAGGCAGACTGCATGCAGGTCTTCTAGTCAACATCTCAAGCGTCTACTGCACATTTGCTAGGGGCAACGGACGACACAGGCTTGCGAAGTCGTCTGTTGAGCCACGGTGCATCATAGGGTGACACCCAGCAGGTGATCCTTGAAAGTCGCTCTATGCAAGTTCTGGGAAGCCCAGAGCAGAGAGAGAGAGAGAGAGAGAGCGAGAGAGAGAGAGAGAGAGGGCAGAGAGTGGGCAGCAACTGCAGTTCCAGCTGCTGATCTTCCGTGCAATGCCTTGGACTGATGGAGAGGACACGGACGGGGGCGAAAAGAAAAAACAGTTTCTTTCGGCTGACCATTCAAACCTGCCCCAAGGCACACAGGGCAGGCTCCGTAGACCTTGCTCTGGCACCAGCTTCCCACGAGGTCCTGGCCTCAGCTCCCGGGGACATTCGGGGGCCAGTGCTCACCAGTGTCACGGGCTCCCTGCAGAGCTCCTCGTGAGTTGGATCGCATGGGCAGGGCCTCGAAGATGCTTTGCGTGTGCCGAGAGCCCCTAGGCCCTAGACGCCCATCTCAGGCGCGGGCTGGTCTGCTGGCTGGCAAGACTGGTTGAAGGGCAGCTCGAAGTTTGGGTAGCCTCCAGCTTGGGTCTCTGAAGATTGCTAGCTTCCTGCTGTGACCGAGCACATGCGGCGAGACAGGTTCGGATATTGGTTCGGATATCGAAAACAGACAGGCAAGCACACTTCTTTACACCTGAAGCAGTTATCCATCAATCGCATCTCGAAGGGCCGCTTCCGCTGAGCTCCTCACCGTCAGATCCGTACTGGACCTGGTAGCAGTCCTGAAGAGGAAGGCATCTTTTACGCTGTCCCTCTTTGCGACGGGTCTCGTGCTTCTAACATCTGGGCCACTGCTCACCTGCTCGTTGTCCAGGCAGAACAGCGGGCAGTTCTCGTCAACTGGCTGGCACCAGCTGTTTCCTTGAGAGCGCTCTTGCATTGGTTGTGCTTGCGTTGTCCGCACATGCATCAGAGTCGCCAAACTCAGGGTCGTGGCACTTCCGCTCATGCCTTAGTCGCGCACAAAGGAAACCTTGGGCTAGCTCCTCTAACACATTGCTCAAAAACTCGGACCCAGATCCGGAGCACTGGAGTACGCCAACTCGCTTGGCTCTTCAGCCCAGCTGCGACGGATCGCAAGGGCAACCGCTGCTCTGAGGGGCGCAGAACTGCTCGTGTTCCTGACCGCCGAGAGACGACGCGGATGGGGTGCCGCAGGTAGGGAGGACGACTACGAGGCTGAAGTCGACCCGAGCCCATTGCGCACCTATCATCCTATCTTAGTTCAGAAGATTGGGCTTCTGAAATCCGGCAGGTGCCTGCGAGTAGTCCCGCTCTCCGTCCCTGGGCACACGGTCAGGGAAGACCCCTCTGGCAGTGCAAAGCTCAGGAGCCTCCCCCCCTGGGGGGTCTTTGGAAGAGGCTTTTGGGCTTTTGGGCCGAGGGGCTCTGTGTACTGCCACCGGAAGCAATAGATCTCAGTGCCTCGGTCAGGGCCAATGTCTGCAGACTGCAGACCATGGATGAAGGAGCAAAGACGAGACAACCGGCTTGCAGACAGGATAAATGGTGACCAAGGTGCTGTTGCAGATCACGGGGCACTCGCCGGCAGATTTTGGCATGCACCAGCTCGAAAACTGATCCTGCAGCGCGAGTTGCCTACGTCTTCAGGTAACGCATCAAATCTGCAGGCAGAAACCTTGCTGCTGGCTGGCAATCTAAAACCCAGCTACGTTGCCTGAATGTCGGTCCTTGCAAGTGTGCTCGTCCTCGTCACACGCGACTTCCTGAACGCCTGCAAGTGTTCGCAAAGCCGGAACCGCGGACACGAACAATGCAAGCAGCAACGCAAGCTGAAGCATGCAGTGGCGAGTTAGTACTTGCCGCATAGCTTGGCGAACAGCCGGAATGCATACAGAAAGAGTCAAGTCGCAAACAGTCAGCTGCGAAGTCTGCCAACTGCTTGTCGGACAAGCGGCAGCCATGGTCAGAGCGCTCGCAGAACTTGATTCCGAAACCTTACACAGGCAGCTACAAGGGGGCTGCGCATTGCGATTGGAAAAAGAGGTCTCCTGTAGAAAAAGCACCTCCGAGGGCCGGGCTTTCGCATTCCACCTCCCACTCCGAGTTGCACGGACATCCTCAAGAAACCCGAGCTCCCAAGGTCACCAAAGCACCCCTTTACTGCACTCATTTTCTGCGGCCTTCTGCGTCCGTGCTGCAGGTGGGCGGAGCCTTCCAAGTGCGCTCTTCGTCAAGCTCGCCTGCGGCTGGACTCATGTCAAAACGAAGGATAGCCGGAGAGCCAGCAGTGTGCGAATACAGGGGAAGGAGGGAGAGCAACAGAGAGAGAGAGAGAGAGAGCGAGAGAAAGTCACAGAGACAAAACGATGGTGAGCAAGCAAGGGAGGCAGGAGGCGAGGGAAAGTGAGGGAAGCAAAGGAAGAACGAGGGAAGAAGCGGTGAAGCGAAGGAATCGAAAGTGAGAAATGAGAAGGCATGCATTGCTGCATTGGGCTAAGGATCAAAGGGGAGGGTGAGGCTGCGGGAGCTTGTGCTTGGACCAAGCAGCCTGTGGAAGTGTAGAAGTTCTCGTAGCAGTACCTCGATTGCTTGTAGGAATCCCACGACCGGACCCAGCTGCGTGGCTCGACGCTTCACGAATGCCGGCCAAGGCTCCGCTCCTCGCAGAAAACGGGCTCGCCTGGTCTCAGCTTCTGGGAGTCATGTTCTACCAAGGCCAACCGCCAAGTGGCCTTCGCAATCACCGCCGTCCCATCCGCACCTCGGTACAGGCAGGGATCGCAGGCACAGGAAACGTCACGCATTCAAGCTGGCATGAGTAGCTGGATTCTCTGCGGAAAGAATTAGGCGTCGATGCATCACTGCGAGTACCACGCCGCTGCAAGCTCACGGAAGCAGTGCAAGCCCCGGCACGCTTCCGTGTTACAGTGGTCATCGCAGATGGCATTTCCAAGCATGTCCTGCTCGCAATCGCACACCTCAGCCAGCGCCAGAGATGTCCAGCCATGTCCATCGGGGAGACCTAAAACCGTCGAAGCCTTCTCGCAAGGGTTCTCGATGTCGGGCACGAGCATCTTGCAGAGCTCGAGGGCAACTTCAAAGCCTTCCAGGAAGAGCAGGGAGGGCCCAAAGAAGTTCACGTGAGGGCAGCCACGGGGGCCTTGCATCCGGTGGCAGCAGTGCTCGAGCTTGAAGCACTCCAGCAGACCTCTCGAAACTTCGGCTCAGAACGGCCCTGGCACCCTGAAAATGCCCTGCGATCCCCTCTTTTTCGGCTCCGCCTCGGGCAAAAAGAGTCCAAAAAGCAGCCTAAGGCAGCTTAAAGCTAAGGCCCCCTTTCAGAGGCTCGCCGCGGCTCGGCTTCCTTCTGGTCCTTGCCCATCCTTCGACCAGGAGAACGACGAGATCGCGGCACTGGCTTATTGCGGCTAGTCTGCCAGTACTCATGCTATGGCTGGGGATGATGATGCTGATGATAGTGATGATGATGATGGTGGTGGTGATGATGATGATGATGATGGTCCTGGTGCTGGTGCTGGTGCTGGTGCTGGTGATGATGACGGCTGCGCGGGTTACTGATTCCAGAGATATTTGTCACGAACGTGTTGAAGGAGCACAGTTGTGTTCAGGGATCGAAGGCACCCTTGACAACACCTGTGACCTGGGCAAATGCTCTGTCACGAGGGAATTACCACAAGTACAATCCAGAAAGAACCCTCCTTACCCGGAAGTCGCGACCGCACTACTGGATTTCAGACTATTCAATGTCAACAAGCAGAGGACGTGGAAGGATTGGACTAAGGCGATAACTTCGCCCTGTGCTTTCTTTTAGTTCATCAACCTTCTGTAGCTGCTCGCCAAGTGGCAGCCGCTGCTCCAGTTCGAATGCCTCTCCGCAACGGACAGCTTTCGACTACTCAAACAAAACCACGTACTGCATCACAACCACAGTACAGGCCGCTGCTCAAACAGACCGAAATGGCAAGTCCAAACAGCAAGCAGGTCACCAAAGCAGCCACAGCCCATTTGAATTTATGGCGCCCGCTTCAATTCATAAGGCCTTCGCATAGAGCAGCTCGCCCATGGAGGAGCCGTGATCCATCAGCGGCGAGGAAAGCACTGCCAGGATCACAAACACCCAGGACAGTATGGTCCTTAGTCTCCGCAAGAGACCAGGAAAACTAAGACTTGAGCCTTAGCCCTAGCGTCGACAGAAAAACACAGAACAATTAAAGCTCTCTCCCATGAGCTGGACAGGTGTCAGCGTCTCCTTGGGCACGTGTTCCTGCTTGCATCCAATAGCTGTGATGACCATCGCGAATTCGCTGATCTGCGAGAGGTTGATGGTGGAACGCGTTGCAGGTCCAAGCTCCCCTCCACAGCCATAGATGGGGCAGAAAACGCCCACCCATCGCGTTGCCATGACCACCTAAACCGTGGCTCTGCTGAATGTAAACTGAATCGCTTACATCAAGAAGCCTTGTTTACATTAACCAGAGTGCAAACAGCTCTGGCCAAGGTAAGCAGTGCCTTTTGATGTAACCAGCGCAGATTACATTCAGCAGAGCCACCACCGAGACGATGCAAGCACAGCAGAAGACATGCTTTGTGGGGTACGGGATTTGCATACCTGAGTACAAATCAGACTCGACAGGGCTGGATGATTGCTACTGCATCTTATGTCCTATGTTGTCGCACGTACTGGAGGGCGTCAGTTCGCTTTCCCACTTAAAGGGAGTCCGCATTGGTCACCACTGCCCCCGAGTTGCCCAGGGAAACAAAGTACAAGGTTACAAAGAAGTCACGGATGTGGCGGATGGTCTTGCTGATCGCCGGTGTACCAGGGGCGCTTGCCAGCGAAGCTCCTGCTACCAGCGCCGCCAGCTCAATGGAGACGTTCACGAAGGGCAACATGGCCGCAGCACACACGAAGAAACACCAGCCTCAGGAGGATTTGCCATCTCGCCTACTCGCTGCCTCAACCGAGTGGTTCTGCCCCAATCACAAGCCGAGCTCCTGGCATACGAAAAGGATCATTCTCATCTCGGCAGACCCTGCCACCGCTCTCATGAGCGGGCGAAACACGTATTTAGCATAGAGGAACGTAACGCAGATCAGCGCCAGCATGATTGCGAAGGTGCGGGCAATTCCCCGGAGCCGGGGGTCGTTGATGTTTGGCTGCAGCGCCAGTACCACGATCGCCCAGACGTCCTGGAAAATGAGAACTCCGATGGAGATCTGCCCAGCTTCTGTCTTGGTCTCGTTTGCGTCCTGGAGCTTCTTCACCACAATCATCGTGGAGGACATGCCGCAGCAGACGGCAAGATAGATCGTCTCAAGCCTGGACCGGCAGATTGGAATTCCAAAGTGGGCCAAAGCAGCAAACACGAGTGAGTGCAGTACCACACATATAGGAAATTGCATCAAACCCGACAGGAAGATCTTGTTTCCGAGTCGTGTCAGTTCCTTGACGTTCAGCTCCAACCCGATCATAAATAGAAGGAAGATCAAGCCAAGCTCGCTTATGGTGGCAATCTCTTGTTCTTCGACCACTAGGCGCAGTCCAATCGGGCCAACTAGCACACCTCCGAGCAAATAGCCCAGTATGAGTGGCTGCTTGAGAAGATGCATCAAGTAGGCGAGGCAGCCTGCTGACAAAGTCCCGTAGATAATGTTTCGCATCACCATCTGCCGGCCCTGCTTTATGTTTTCGGCATGGTGTCCCTCACCTTTGGGGTCAACCAGTGGAGAAGGGATCACAAAGATCAGGGCCAGCAGGAGGATGGCCAATGCATAGACGATCGCCTGCAGCAAGACCGACACGGCCGTCGGGGCAGCGGCAGTCCCCCGAGCCTGAGCTTGCTGAGCGACTTCATCGACGGCGCCGTAATTCTTGGCCTCAGCCTGGGAGGACTCCAAATCCTCCGACTGCTTGTTCGCCATGGCTGCTGTGCGCTGCGCGCAGCAAGGCACCGAGTCAGAACTTCATTGCTACGTCTGGCCCACAGGGCGCGCGCCCTGCCCCGGCCCTTGAGTTGTGCCGAAGGCAAGCGGCATGCAAAATATCAACAAGCAAAGTCAGGCCCGAAGCTGGTTCCCCACCTGCAGCCTTCCAGCAAAGATCCTCTGTCCAAAAGTCCTGGGAGGAGTGGGGCTTCAGACGAACTGCAACCGGCTAGCATCCAGGATAAAGAAGTTGCTGCAAGGGAACTGCTCCCGCATCCGGGCTGAGGTTTTCCAGTTCCGGAGGGACGCAGGCATCGGCTTTCTCCTGCGGAGATTAAATCTTGGGGATGGCCACTGTTCTAGGATGTCCTAGGGCACCTCGTGCTGTTATCTGAAGGGAAGAGAAGGGCGGCCGGCCTCGTTGCACTGCCCGTGGTCGTCCGTGCCAGTGTCCTGGCTTGGCATCCCACTTGCCGATCCAACGAGTATGCGAGCATGCCTTCATGGCAAAGTCTGGCAAGAACTTTCTGGGTTGCTTCCGCCCCCTCACGATTGTTCCTAGAAGTGTCCAGCACAGCACCAAGACTCTTCTCTCTGACACTGCAACATGCAACGACAAACTTCAGACTTAACATGGCTACCGCGAACAAAGCATTTGCCAGCTTGATTTTCCACCCCCGCACAGGACCTGGGGGCAGCCGTGCTCCCTGCTGTAGCAGGAGCGCGAAAAGCTTCCCTGAGTTGCTCACATCCACGACGAAGCTAATGTTCAGCCTACAGCTTACGTGATGGCATGCAACATGTCGGGGAAGGGCCCTCACGATCCGATGCAGCAAACTCCTACAATCCCCGCTATTGCGACTCAATGTCAACCCTGCAGTGCTCCATAGCCTTGAGGCCTTAGTCTGACCATCAAGAAAGTACGCTTCTTGAAGCTACTATTCAGCCAGACCCCCTGCTTTGTGGCAAAGGCTCCAT